CCCCACCCATCCCCCTCCATTCACCCCACCCCCACCCAACCCCTCCATTCACCCCACCCCCACCCACCCCCTCCATTCACCCCACCCCCACCCACCCCCTCCATACCCTATCCAGTGCGGCAACAGCTTGCTGGTCTCCATGAAAAACTCCCTGGATAAGTTCTGTATACTTTGTATGGACCTCTAGCATCGACTCCACAAACTGAGCTGGTACCTAATGAGAGGTTAAGAATTGATTTATGGTGAAAACTGCTGGAATGTGAGCATGTTACTGCTACATCTTTATTCTGAGGTCAACTCAAACTACCTAGTAATTCTTCTGATGGACAAAAAATTGTTCTTACAGTTACCTCAATTTTTTGTCAAAATTTATCGAGCAAGACTGATTAGACATCAAAAGTAAAACACAACATTAATCATAACCATGACAGATTCATATAACCATACACTGATCATCTGTTGGTGGCTTTTACTCAATTTTCTTTACAGAACCTTCACCCCTTATGACATCCTAATAAAACCGATCCCTGGTGGTATGACGATTTTCCTTTAATATTCTTATATTTCTGTACATGTCCTAGATCTAGAACTCACATTGCCCCCCCCCTCACCCCCCCCCCCCCCCTGAACAACCTTATTGACTGACAATATGCCTATGACATTTTTTCATGAGCCATAACTCACATTGTCCCCCTTCAGACTGTGTACTGCTTCCAGTCCTGTGTGTTTGATGTGATTCTCCACTTCACTGATCAACACCCCCAGACCACCGTGAACTGGCTTCAGGAGGATGTACATGTTGGATAAGTCTGAAAAAAAAAAAAAAAACATTTTTAATATGCGTATTTTATTTTGCTGTTATCATTATGGCGTCTACATGAGTGCATTCTGAACAGATGATTCGCAACATGATAGATTAAGATTAATTGTTTCCATTCAAAACAAAAAGCCCTGCCCTAAATTAAAGCTATGCAAATTTTGATATGCATTAAGGCAAATATCTTGATAATTTGAGATTTAAATGTTACTGTTATTGTTCTCCCCTGATTTTACTGTAAGCTACAAATCTTTTTTTTTTTAAATATATATAATTTTAATAATTTGAAAGTGTGGTTTTACCTTTCCTCTTTTCTTTTTGCACCATCTCCTTACATTCCCCGTGCAGGAACAACAGGTGTTCCGCTACCATCCTCTGCTGACACTCACATGTTACCTTTGCGTAGCTGCACGGGTGGAGAAACTTACGACTGCGAAGATTCTCATCGTCCAGTTTTTGAATAACCTGAATGATCAACAAAAAACCTCATAATATTGTTTTTATGAGAAACAGAAACAAAAAGCAACAACATCAAATTTGTTTCCGTCAATTAATGTTATATCTGTCTTCATGCTTACCTTTTCCATATATTCTGAACAAGAGGATTCATCCAAGAATCTTAGAGCTTCTGCTTTGTAATAATCTCCTGTTTCATGCAGAAATTCTTTCTCAAAAAGATCTTCATACAACTGGAAGGTAAAAAATATTATAATATATGACCAAGACATGTGACTGAGTGAAAATAAGTGTAAGCTGAATATTGACATATCTGTATACTGGCTCTTGAAATTCCAGGTAAAAATTCAACATAATCCACGGTAAATTATTCATTGTCTTACCACATAAATTATTTTCTTGTCTCAGCATAATACTCTCTGTGCAAGGTTATAAATAGACAACGTATAATAGCAAAAATTCGGCAACACTCAATCATCTAAATAAAGAATTTATAATCTCACATGCCAACTCTCTATTAAAATATGTATCCCCTTCCTTTCCATGATCCCTTTTTACTTGACACAATACATATCCTTTCATAAAAATCTGTTTTTTTTTTTCTTTTTTTTTTCAAATACCTGAAGTGGACATTTCTTCTTATACTGCTCTACATGGACAAAGGAATTAACCACTCCATGGATGACTGCCTGATTGACCGTACCACCAAGACGGTCCCTTTAAATATAATAACAGAAATGAGAACTTTAATGTCAAGAAAGCCCCGACATCATTATTTTCAAAGCATTATAAAATCATTAACTATTTTACCACTACTTTTGAACACTTTCAAGACAAGCCCAACACCAATCTTATCCTCAGCCCTTACTTCTTGACTTCAGCCAAGAGAAGCCCAAGCAGACTATCCTTGAGTGGTTCAATCATGAGCCTCTTCCATATGTCCAGAGCCAGTTCCCCGATCTCCAACATCTGCTCAGCAATCATCATGTCCAGGTTAATGCTGCCATAGTGAAGATCTGCATCAGTGTACTTCTGTTTCTTAATGAACTGGGAGTTTAAATACCTGCATGGAAATGAAGAAGAGTTTTTAAAATTTTTCTAGATCACAATATCATTCTTTTTTTACTTGAACCCAATTATTAAATTCTTTATTTATTATTATTATTTTTTTTTTTTGTAACTTGTCCTTTTTTAAGCAATCCATTTTGGTGAAATTGATGCAATGATGTATATAATATAAGAATGAAATATAATCAATCTACTCAGTTTAATATGATATGAATTAAGCTAGCAACTGCCCTGCTCACCCATACAGCTGGTTCAGGTAAGAGGACCCCTTGTTATACTCCTGCCAGTCTTTATGATAATTGGACAGCAAGTTCTCCTCCCCACTCTGACTGACTTGCTGTAAATATAGAGACATAGATATATACTGTACTGGGTACACAATTTGATATATGCCTTAATTTTAGTGATATAAACATATTTATTAAGAGGGCTCACTGCTTTAAATATATTTATTATATATGAATATTTATAGAATGAACCTTTGTATAAAGCTATGCATGTGTATCTGTACTTGTGAGCATGTATGAGAGAGAGAGAGAGAGAGAGAGAGAGAGAGAGAGAGAGAGAGAGAGAGAGAGAGAGAGGTGTACCTTATGTAAAGCTGTCACATGGTGCTCTAGGAACTCCTTGGTTTTGGCATACAGCTGCTCTCCCAGGGGCTCTGGGTAGGCCACACACAGCGCATACACATCTGTACACAGGAGTTAGAGAAATGCAAAAACAAAGGTCTTGAAGAGGCTGATGTGCTTCTGTGTGTGCGTGCGTGCGTGCGCATGTGCACCCATATTTGTTTGCATGTAACTTATATTTGTAACTGTATGCAGAGGTGTATGCTTGAACAACACGGACAAACACAGTTAACACACTTCTGTATTTTTCTTCTCTCTTTCGACACATGTCCTACATCAGACAGACAGACAGACAGACAGATACAAAGACACTGCCACAAGAACACACAGAAAGGATATGAAAACCTGTCATTCCAGGTGGCCCTATCCACCCTCCCACACGTGATCACTCCCTGCACTGTCTCCAGGAGTAGCTTCCAGGTGGCATCAAAGTCCACACGCCGCGGTTTAAGGGACATACTGGTCACTCGGGGGTCACTTGGTGGCTGACCCTTGTGGACATCTATGGGCTATTCTAATGGATGGATATCAGTTGTAAATACTCTAATAGGTTTGACTTTGGGAACTGGAAAATATATAAATAGTTTATATATTAGAAAATGTCAAGACTGTAAAATAGCGAGAAAGTTTGAAAATGTTATTTTGTGCATGTTGAAGTATAAAGATGGATTTTGTTACACATGTAATAACCAGGCATTCTTGTTCATATGTGCATGAATACATGCATCTTTGCAAGTGTGTGCATGTGTAAAAAAAAAAAANCACACGCCGCGGTTTAAGGGACATACTGGTCACTCGGGGGTCACTTGGTGGCTGACCCTTGTGGACATCTATGGGCTATTCTAATGGATGGATATCAGTTGTAAATACTCTAATAGGTTTGACTTTGGGAACTGGAAAATATATAAACAGTTTATATTAGAAAATGTCAAGACTGTAAAATAGCAGAAAGTTTGAAAATGTTATTTTGTGCATGTTGAAGTATAAAGATGGACTTTGTTACACATGTAATAACCAGGTATTTTTGTTCATATGTGCATGTATACATGCATCTTTGCAAGTGTGTGCATGTGTAAAAAAAAACTGACTTAATTAACATCTACACCATATAGTACATATCTATACCAATGACTGCCTCAATTGTAGCCAAGATACTTTTTCAGAGGGTTAATTTTAGAAAGTGTTGGTGAACTAGTAAGGTAAAATCGAAACTGGCATGTCTATGCTCTCTCAAGCTGGTCTCCACTGTGCAGCATCATGGTTGTTAATTAAAATTTAAATTAAATTACTAGTAGTTATGACTGCTCTCTCACCAAGCAGTGTAAGTAGGCTTTGTGTCCACAGTTTCAGGAGCCCTTCTGATAAAACAACTACTCATTGACAGGTGACCTCTCTGACGGTGATGGGGGAATCTTATTTTGTAAACTACCCTACCCCATCCCACTTATGATTATTGCACTGATTAAATCAAAATTGTATTTTTCTTCAATCCTACCAACCCTTAAAAAACAGTCATTGTAAAACAGAGACAGAGTTATTTGCATTTTTACTTCAGCTTACCATATTTGAAACAGAAATTGCTGCCAGGCTATCACTGACACAAGCTTTAGTAGGTTGTTGTCGTAAACTAAGAAATCTACGTACCAAATAAACGTGGCAAGTTGTGTTGACAGTGGCTATTTGAGTGGAAAAAAATCTATATTTAAAGAACATACATCCAACACATACTATTTAAGGATTCAGTTTCAGAGAAGTACTACTGACATTGCGATTACAGTACCTTTTCTTTTCCATATCTAAGGAGGAATTCCGTGTTCTCTACTCTAGTTTCTGTCCCCAAATTTACCTTAGCAAGCTCTTTCTGTGCCTCGTTCCACTTCCGATATTTCACTCTGCCTAGCATATATTTGATTAGCATAAAAAAGACAAAAAGATCGAACACGTACCTTGGATTTAAGATCAATTCACAGGCTCAATTTAATCAGCATGCATTGATATTTTAACAAAGTAGGGACCGAAGTTTACTCTATTCTGAGAAACACGGAGGGCGACATATTGGGTCATTGCGGTGCATTGTGGGAACACAGCTAACGCAATCACGCGCATTGCGGTCATTTCACGTGGATCGGAGACAAGTAAGTGGCTGTTGAAGCTGGACCGTTGAAGCTTCAGGTGTCATCTCAGACCAATGAAAACCAACGAACTTGAATTGATTCAGTAGCTTTCCCGGTATAACAGCACGTCATACCACCCGTTAACAGTGTTCAGCAGAAAAATGATATCTTTTTTTTATTTGCAAAATATGTTTTATTCGAAATTAGTTTCCGTTGCCGGTGAGATACGCCGGCTAGATTAATACGTCATCGGTATGTGCGCACTTGTGACGTTCACCGCATTCATATACCGTCGTCCAATCTAGTCTGCGGAATACAAGCGCTCCTATCTAGCCAGTGCGGAAGATTATTGAAACTAGTTATTAAAGGTTATGTTTGCTCATTTATATGCCTTATATAATTTTTTACAATAGTTCAAGTGTACGTTCATGCAAATTTCGACTTTTTAAGCGAGAGGAGTCGCTAGTTTTGGTTTATCAGGCACGTAGTCGGGGGTTGATCTTACCAAGGAGTTATCTCCTTGATCTTACTAACCGCCATATTTGTCGTAAAAAATTGAATTTTTGGGTAATATATGTCTCCTTTTTCATAAAAAAAGAATCTCCACCTTGGAAATAGATGGCTAAGGGGCCGTATGTTGTTAATTATATTGGAATGAGCGGGGCGGGAAGCGCCAGCATTCTGGAACTTTACCGGAACGAGAAAAGAGTAGCGCGTTACTAGATACATTTGCACATACGTGACAATCTAGCCGTCGTATCCCAACTGCACCGGAAACTCTCTGTAAATCGCACCAGTTATAACACATTTGAATGTTTTTCCCTCTCTTCTTAGGGTCTCGCGAAAACTAAAACACGTCTGTTGTGAACCGCCTTTGTTCCCATTGCACTCTTTGATGTCATAGGTAAAGCCAAAATCAATAATAGTGACAGCATTGGTTTTAATACACCGTAGATGAGAAATGTTTGACAGTTGAATTGACGAAAGTAGATGTTGAATTTATGACAGGATCGTTTAAACTTGAAACTGAATCGATGGGAAGGCAGTGAATCGACGAAACATAACTGAATCGACGACATGATTTTTTGCCCTTTTGGCCGCCCATANTCGAACCAGTTCTTACATATTTGAATGTTTTTCCTCTCTACTTAGGGTCTTGCTAAAACTAAAACACGTCTTTTGTGAACCGCCTTGGTTCCCATTACACTCTTTGATGTCATGGGTAAAGCCAAAATCAATCTTAGTATAAAACAAACTCCGAGCTCCGTGTCGGGTTCTCAAAAGCGCATGGCTTCCTGTACATAATGAATTTTACCGTTCATGATAAACCATGGTCGGGACTGGGGTTGCGTGGGATGAAATGCGGCACCCGGATTATCGATTGGGATAGCAGATATACACATGTACATCCAACCTGGCCCTCTCCGTGGCAAGGTTAAAAGTTTCCATTGGATCACTACGGATCAACGAAGCTGACTTGGCTCCGTGGTAACTTTGCTGACTCGTAAACAAACGGACACTGGTAGGCCTACGCTGGATCGAGACCCAGCTGGTATAAACTTTTTTTCCCAGAATTAAATTTAAAAAATTCCAATTGGTTACTATAAGAGGAAACTCGTATGTACGGAGGGTGGGCGGGTGTCTCACGGTGCAGTGGGTAGCGTGCTTGGATGCAAATGTGACACCCAAAGCGCCACCAACCATGGCAACGCAAAGTCACGAGTTCGAATCCCGGATGAGGCACGTCAGTCCATTACGACAACGACCGGGCCTCTGAATCGTGTCCCGGATGTCACGAGAACGAATCTGGGCTCTCCAGGGTCCTAGCAAATTACCTTTTGCATAAAAATACGGTATACTTTAGAAAGTTTACATTAAATTTTCGATTTAAAACAAACAGGTTGCTGGTCATTAGAATAAAGTCTGCGTCGTCAATAATATTTCCTTTCTCTTCAGTTAAAAGTCCTTAATTTGGTGCCACAGATCTTGTGCTTAAATTGACCTAGAGCTAACACCGTATGATCTGCATTTCATCAAAATGTGCTATCTTCTCGGTGGGATTATCAGAGAGAATTTTTTATTTTTTACAAAAGCCTCTATTGCTTTTGACAAGTACACATTTTGTCTTTTCATGCCTTTCTTGCACCCTTGCTTCCCAAGACTGTTCATACAGGGTTACCACTTAATATGGAATATTTTTTATCATTGTTATTTTTGAGGGCTGATTTAAAAAAATTTGGCTTGATTCATCAAAAACGTATGCCATTGAGTGATAAAAATATCCAGTCTTCTATTGTTAGATATTTTGGTCAATAATATCAAATCTGACATAATATGTCATTGAAAAGAAAAGAACACCCCCAGAAAACCATATCAACAGTTTGATGTCAGTATTAATTTTAAGCTAAGATATTAAAGAAAATTATAGCCTCCCGACAGTGATATGTTACACAGTCAAAGAAATCATTACAGTAAATCATGAAAAGTCATCAATAGCAGGTATGACCTCCAGCAGCCGCTTGCAGCGCCCTCATCCTACATGGCATACCTTGTGAAAAGTTTTTAGAGTTTGGATGGGGATATCATTCCACGCAGTGACATTTGCCTGTCGCAGTTCATCACTATTTACCGGCCAATGACCATAGCTATTATTTCTGTGAGTTACTTCCGCCCACAGACTTTCAATTAGGTTCATATCTGAGGAGTTTGCAGGCCAGGGCAGTTGCTGAACCCATTGGTTTCGAAGAAAAACAGTGATTCTGCGAGCTCGATGTGGGGTGGCGCAGTCGTCTTGGTACACAAAGTTGTTCCTGGAGATGACTCTTACAAATCAAAGCATTGTTTGCTGTAGAATGTCTCTGTAGGAACCCTGGTTGAGGTTGCCTCCTAGAAAAACCAACTGGTTCTGGGCACCGGCATAAATGCTCTTCAAACAGAGACGTTAACACCCCCTGCTTGCACCCTAGCCAGTACACAATCATCTTTTATGCCTCTCGTACACGTCGGCGGACACGGATTCGACCATCAACCCTAAAAACTCCATATCTGGCCTTATTTCTGAAAACGACGTGATTCCAATGTTTTGGCTGCAAAGGCACGTGTCCCCAGCCTATTGCAGACGTCGCTGTGTATGACCTGCTGTTAACAGTGGTTTCCCTACTGGCCTTCGTGCAAAATAACCGGCTTGCAGTGATCTCTTTTTCACGAGGGATCTTGAAATGGGCGTTTGAATGACCTTCTGCCCCTCTTTTCTGAGGACACTGGTTGTCTTTGTACGACCAGCACGGCGCACTCTGAGGAGAAGGCGATCCTGTCTTCATGGTGTGATACGCGGACACCCTGGTCGAAGTATTGTAGTTGGTGCCCCTTTTGTAGCTTTTCTTTGGAGGACTTTACTAACGGTTCCTGATAAATGTTGCATTGCCTGGCAATAGCTGTCAGTATCTGGCCATTTTCTCCGAGAGCAAGAATCCCATAGTAAGCTGCGTTGCTTAGCNTTGAACAAAATTTACTGATGTCATAATTAAAGAACAGGACAAGGTGCCCAGATTAAAAATGATAGATAGTCGCAAGAAGATTCTTACCTGTTCTCGTCCCTGCGTCATAGCGGCTAACGGTGTCATAATGCCAGACTTCGTGGAAGGTGATGATACGATACCCCTTAGCGACTGCTTTTTTAAGTTCAGCAGTAACCCATGCACCCGTGAGAATTCTTTCCTCATCGGTGTGTTCGCATTGTGATTGTTGCATACTTTCAACGCAAGTTTTGCACAAGGGGAATGTTAATTTGCCATTACTTCTGTAGGGCAATACGGGGTGAAACAATCCGCGAGGGGGTAACACACTGACCTTGGCTATCCCTTCATATTGATCAAGACCTACAAAATTGTCTGTGATAACATGGGGGTGATGGACGGGGTACGAACACATTTTGTTGGTCCACGGATACAAACTTGTTATATCTATGTACCGAATTTTCTGGGCACCCTCTGCCGTGCAATACAAACGCGCCGCATTTGTTCTCCCGCCATAAAACGCTTCCCTGGGATTTAATGGGTCTACAATGTCCAGGGAATCTACGAAAGTTTTCATTTCTGAATTTTCTTTTAGATTTCTCTCAAACTCGCATTCCCATATCTCTTCGTACTGTAACCCTCGAGATTCTATATAGCGTCTAGCATTCATTGTTTTTTCAAACAAATTACCCATGGTCATGTTACGCACACTGTTCATGTTCCAGGGATCGTAACAATCGCGACAACCGTGCCAGTAACAGCCGTGAAACTGAAAGACTTTATTTAGGGTGGGGCAAAAACCATCCACCCTATAATTGCCGAATTTTCTTTCACCGCCATTCCGTGCGTGTTCTAAATGAATGGCACGGCTATGAGCAATGTATGCTAACCATCTTATGGCTTTTGCAGAGGTAGTGTGTCTAGGATTGTACCCACCCTTTGGCATAATGCCGATTGTTTTGCGAGGGAGAAACAGGGTGCGATACACAACATTACAAGCACTTGCAATGGTTATTGCTGATCGAAACACTTCTATCTGCCGACCCTTTTCACCCGTGATTTCTAAAAACAGTTGTCTGAATTTCAAGCAAGATCTGCGTAGAATGTCGACGTCCATTCTGCAATACTTAACAATTTCAGACTGAAAATCAAAGACATAATTCTGTTTTACGAGATCGTCGTACCACTTAAAGAAGTCGGACCGTGCACTATCGGTCATGGACTCCACCCCGTAATAGTTTGGAGGGGGTAAAGCTCCGATGTAATTTTGATTGTCAGGCGTGTTAAACAAGTGTGGAAAGTAACCTTTGCTTAACCCTTTGTCCAATGCAAAAGCCGACGGTAATTTGCTCAAAGCCATGGGAAGGAAATTGTAACTGTCAATGATTTTAATGTCTCCAATTTCGATAGAAATGCATTTAGCACCTCTAAGT